TAAAAATATTACAGATACAAGACATTTATAAACAATATGTTTTGCAAGCATTTTTTCTAAGTCTGTGACTTGCCTTTTTCTTTTTTTTTTTTTTTTTTTGAGCGGGGTTTTGCCCTTGTTGCCCAGACTGGAGTGCAATGGCACGATCTCGGCTCACCGCAACCTCCGCCTCCTGGGTTCAAGCAATTCTCCAGCCTCAGCCTCCCGAGTAGCTGGGACTACAGGCACGCACCATCATGCCCAGCTAATTTTTGTATTTTTAATAGAGATGGGGTTTCACCGTGTTGACCAGGATGGTCTCGACCTCTTGACCTCGTGATCCACCCGCCTCGGCCTCCCAAAGTGCTGGGATTACAGACTTGAACCACCGCGCCTGGCTGGCTTTTTCTTTTTTTTTTTTTTTTTTTTCTTTTTTGAGACAGAGTCTTGCCCTGTCCCTAGGCTGGAGTGCAGTGGCACGATCTCGGCTCACTGCAACCTCTGCCTCCCAGGTTCAAGCAATTCTCCTGCTTCAGCCTCCGGAGTAGCTGGGACTGCAGGCATGTGCTACCATACTCGGCTAATTTTTATATTTTTAGTAGAGACAGGGTTTCATTATGTTTGCCAGGATGGTCTCGATCTCTTGACCTTGTGATCTTCCCGCCTCGGCCTCCCAAAGTGCTGGGATTACAGGCATGAGCCACCACGCCCAGCTGTGTTTTTATTGTCTTAACAGTGTTTTGTGAAGAGTCAAAGTTTTGACAAAGTCAAATTTATCAAAGTTTATTATCACATTGGTCTTTAAAAATTTTTTTAAAAATTATTTTTGATACCCCAGTTCCTTCACCTCTCCAATGAGATAACTGATGTACATGTCTACACTGTTCCCCAGGGATCCCCAGCAGGGTCATACTTCTTGTGTTGTATTTAAGAAGTCTTTTTTGAATTCAAGATCACAAAGATTTTCTCCTATGTTTTCTTCTAGAAATTTTAAATTCTAGGTTTTACCTTTAGAGGATTATCCATTTTGAGTTAATTTTTTGTAATGGTGTGAAGTATGAATTGAGGCTTAATTTTTTTTGCATGTGGTTGCATATGGCTCAGTTTTTTTGTAATTATTTCAGCATCATTTGTTGAAAAGTTTCTCCACTGAATTACCTTTGCAATCTGTCCAGAAATCAGTTGATCATATATTTATGGGTTTATTTCTAGACTTTTTATTTTTTTCTATTGATTTATGTATCTTTTTTTTCACCAAAGCCATACTTTATCACTATAGCTTAGTAGTAAGTATCGAAATCAGTTAGTGTGAATTCTTCAATATTGCTCTTCATTTAAAAAAATTGTTTTGGTTATGTGAGTTTTTTAACTTTTCCATATAAATTTTCAGTGTATCAGGTTCTACAGTATATATATGGTAGGAATATTTTTTTCAGATGGAGGCTCCCTCTGTTGCGAGGCTGGAGTGCAGTGACGCCATCTTGGCTCACTGTCTCCGCCTTCCAGGTTCAAGCAATTTTCCTGCTTCAGCCTCCTAAGTAGCTGGGACTACAGGTGCGTGCCACTACACCCACCTAATTTTTGTATTTTTAGTAGAGATGGGGTTTTGCCATGTTGGCCAGAATGGTCTCAATCTCCTGACCTCGTGATCCGCCCACCTTGGCCTCCCAAAGTTCTGGGATTACAGACGTGAGCCACCATGCCCTGCCTATGATAGGATTTTGAAAGGAATTGTGTTGAGCTCATAGATCAACTTGGGGAGAACTGTAACAATACTGAGTCTCATATTCAGAACATGGTATATCTTTCTATTTATTTAGACCTTTTTTTGTTTGTTTTGTAGTTTCTAGTACGCAGATCTTGCACATATTTTGTTTGGTTTGTACCTAAGATTTTATGCTTTTTGGTAATATCAAATATAGCATTCTTTCTCAGTTTTAATTTCTAATTGTTCATTGCTAGTATATAAAAATATAACTGAATTTTGGGTATTGATCATATAGCCTGTGATTTTGCTAAACTTACCTATTCTAGATTTTTTTGTGGTACATTCTAGAGTTTTCTATATTGTAAATAATGCTATCTTTGAATAGAGACAGTTTGATATATTTTTTTTCAGTCTGTTTGCCTTTTTTGTATATGTTTTGAACTGCTATTTTATTTAAAACATTTAATTTTTAGAGAAATATTTTACCAAGATTAAATTCTTGCCAAATTGGCTTTCTGGAGTATTACAAGGGATTAGAGCCCAAAGGTCCATGCCTAATAACAGGGTGCTTGGGTTTGGTTGTTAGTTCATTCCTATGCCTTCTTCATATCCTCATTTCAAGATATGGCTCAACTTTCCTCATGGCCTATTGACTGATGTACTGTATTATCAAAATAGAGAATGGACATGAGCATTCTTTGGATGTAAAGAATCACAGAGGTCCTAAATACTATTAGAATTATTATGGTGGTAATTGTTCAAAATTGCCAGGTACTGATGTCATCTTCATGGTTATGACATATGGTTACCAAAGCTCTAGGGATTGGATTTACAAGGTGGATTCAATTCCAGTTCACATTTGGGGATAATCACAACCTTGGAGGGAGTTAACATTTTGCAGAACAGTCATGTGGTAGTTGTCCTTGTGTGGGCCAAAGACTTATGACACTTTCTTCTCAAACCCTACATGACCCTGAATTACCTGCTTCCTCTATTCAGCTATGTGGGCAGTCTTTATAATTTTAACCTTTCAAGCTGTGCTGTAATATAATGACTAGAGCATTTTATATAGGACATGACTTTTGTGTACTTGTGACCTATTATTACTTTCCTATTTGGGGTTTGTCAGGGTGAATGATGTGGGGTATTTTGTGGAAACAGTCTAAAGAGTCATCATTATTGTTAGTGGTAAGGGGTCTTGGCATAACCCTCTGACTTGAGAGCCTTCACACTGCTTGCTGAGCATATGGTTGCCCTTTCTGTGAGCTCCCTTGATACTTCCACTGCTATAATTTGGACATCTTTGCTGATCAGTTCACTTACTTGTCCATCTTCCTGGAGTGTGCATGAATCAGGATCAGGGAATCTTACACTCATCCCCCCAGGGTCTGACTCAGGGCTTGGCTGATGTTATTGACTGAATGAGCTCTGTAAATACACTCGCAGTCAGTCTGGCACAGTGGGAAGGGCAAGGACTCTGGCATCATTCCAACAATTGGAAATTAAAATGAAAAAAAGGCATGCATTGAGAAGGTTTGAGTCTGAGCTCTGCTGCCTGTGGATTTCCTTTGTCTGAATTACTTATTTATTCTAAGTCACATTTTTCCCATCTGTAAAATGAGGATATTATTTATTTCATTAGTTCATCATATTGTAGTACTAGGTAAGTGAATGTTATTGGAACAATTATTTAATGGATATATCGTGTCATTTAACCCTAACTACTAGCATATTATTTCCAACTCAGTTGCCTCCCCTGGTCGATTTGGAGTTCAGGGGCTGTTGCTATATAAACTAGTCATCCCTATTACCATCAGTGTGGCTGCCATTGCTAGTAAAGTGCCAATTAGATAATTCAATGCTCATATTATCTGGGATGCCACAGCGGCCGATTGCAGTGATACTTGCAGAGGGTGATGCCTGGGGTCTGTGGGCTTCCATGCTAGTCTCAGCATTTGGATTTTATATTTAGCAGTATCTATGGGTAGTTTGAAAACACGCAGGCTGCCACATGTCTGGAGGTCACCCAGCAATCCAGAAAGTGTCAAGAGAGTCCTTCCTCAAATTTCAAGGGATGTGTTCCAACCTTCCAGGCTACAATTCACTCTACAAATTTTAATAACATATTTCTGCATTTATTTTTTCTGGTATCCTCAATCCAGTTTGAAGGGCATCAGCATTGCTAGATTGATATGTAATTTGGGATTTTAAAAATGCTATTGCTAATACCTGAATATGAATTTTATTTCTAATATGAAAAACTTTCCAAATTACAAAAACGCTATGATCCTCATAAGTTTTGGTTCTAGAATAAAATGATGTGACACTCCTAATCCATGCATTTTGGTTTTTGTGTATTTGTTTTTTAAACTAAGAACTTTGATGATGCACTGGAACTATTCAACATAGCCTCATTTCAAAGGCAGCCACATAGAGTTCTGCTGTCTAAATAAATTAAAGCTGATATCACACAACATTTCCGTTGGGTAAGCTTGCCGGCAATGCTTGTCTGGGCCACATACTTATAATGTCTTTATTGGATGTTGTTTATTTCCTTCTTGAACACAATTTATTCCCCCATCAAAATAGGAACATGTCAATATGTTCACAATTTTATAAGTGCATATACTCTATGTGTATATGTATGTACATTCATGTTTCTATGTCTATAAGTAGTAAAACTTTTTTTCCAGGAGTAGGTGTACTTTAATTTCCTTTGTATTTTTCCTTTATTTATTTTTTGAGGCTGAGTCTCCCACTGTCACCCAATCACGTGATCTCAGCTCTGCAGTCTCTGCCTCTTAGGTTTAAGCGATTCTCCTGCCCTAGCCTTCTGAGTAGTTGGGATTACAGGCACCCACTACCAGACCCAGCTAATTTTTTGTATTTTTAGTAGAGACAGGGTTTCACCATGTTGGCCAGGCTGGTCTTGAACTCCTGACCTTGTGATCTGCCTGCTTTGGCCCCCCAAAGTGCTGGGATTACAGACGTGAGCCACCAAACCTGGCCTCCTTTGTGTTTTTCTGTGTTTCAAAATTATCTACAATGATTAACCAGAAAATTAATATTATAGTAATTATACATAAAATAGAACTTTTAAAGAATATCTTTTCTAGGCTTGGGACAGGAAAAAATATTATATTATTTTTGGCCAGAGTGTATCAGAATTAAGAAATTAAAGAGAGGGATTTTGCAGAATAACCTCAAAGTTAGTCTCAAAATTCACAATTATATTAACTGAGTTCAGAGAGAGAGACAGAGTATATATCACCTACTAATGTCATGTATTTTTCTTTTTCTGTTTGTAAACCAGATTGAAAAGAAGGATTAGGCCAACCCCAAAGAAGAAGTGACCAAGGGGGAGTTTAAAGTGAATGAATGGCCTCGGCTCCTGGACTCATTGCTTCACAACCCATCTACCCTTGGACAAGTTATCTGGCTTCAAATATTATGCAAGGGCAAACACCTGCTGATGCAGCAACTGCTGATGCTCATGGTCCGCGTGGCATGGGGGCCTCAGGGCAGCCTGCCTGGAGGTGAGCAGGGGTATCTCTCTGTCTTATACTCCAGTCAGGGGGTTCCACCTGCACCTGCAGGCTCCAGAGCTCAATGCACAGATCTTTTTGTTTCACCTGCAGTCTTTTCTTCCCCTGGATGTGCACAGGGCTCCAGGGTCTTTCATGACTCAAGGTCAGAGTGGCTCACGTACCAGTCCACATGTTGTCCTCCAGATATTCCCTTCCATCCCTTGCATCCTGTTGCTCAGCCTGACTTTTAATTTTTAACTTTCTCCTTTGTAATTAATCTCTATCTGGGTTTCTCTCTTCCTCTTTGCCATTTGGTTTCCTCAATTAGTTCCCTGTGCCAGTCCATAGTCAGAGCCATAATTGGCTCTGGGGAAGATCCAAGTTATTTTCTGAGTAAGATATTAGGCTGCCATATGATCCAGAGATGCAAAGAAATCCCCAGAGAGTGTAGGAGTTGTCTAAATCCATGTGTCAGATGTAGCCAGCAAGTTGTGTCAGAAGCAGAGAGAAAAGGCATGAAAAGCAACCTTCTTCCGCTCCTCAGGCCCCTCCTCAGGTCTCCATCCTTACGTGGGGCTTTTTTTTTTTTCTTCCTCCCCAAGATGCGGTTTCACCATGATGGCCAGGCTGGTCTTGAACTCCTGACCTCAGGTGATCCACCCACTTTGGCCTCCCAAAGTGCTAGGATTATAGGCGTGAGCCACTGCACCCGGCCACATGGGGCTTTTTGAACATCTCCTCCTGGCACAGCTAGGGTGAGAGCAAGTCCTCTAAGGCACTGCCTTTGAGCCTTGCTCAGCCCATCTGAACGATCCCAGTTCTAGAATTGACTGCTTTTAAATTGTGTGACCTTGGGAATGTTATCTAGCTTCAACCACAGTGCCCTACCTTAAGTCCCTCTCCCAAGTGATCCTAGATACAGGGCTGCTTCCCCCCAAACCCTGTCCACCTCAGGACACAGGCTCGTGGCCTTATGACACTTCATGACCAGAAGTGGTGCTGAGAATTCCTATTTCCACCTGTAACCCCCTAATTCCTGGGAAAACCTGTGGCCTGGTCCCCCCAGTGCTTTTTCTGGCTGGTCCCTCCATGTTTTCATCTGATGGTGGAGTGAGATCAGGAAAAATAGGAGAGGAGCTTTACCTTGGGGGAGAAGAGAAGTGTGGAAAGGATGAGTTAAAGGAGGTTAAGCAGTCTAAGATTCCTCTCCCTATGTAGGAGGCCATTTCCTCATGTGAGGGGGTTTGAACCCAATTATAATGGGACAGGGCTGGGTGTTGACTTCCCATCTCTTCTCTCTGTTTTGTTCCCACTATCTGTAGCCCAAAAATCTTGGGGAGGACTTTGATCTTTAGTATGGGCTCTTGGTCAGGGCCATAGGAACTAACCCCAATCCTTATTCCTCCTGGCTCTACCACATCCCATACACACAAACACATGCTGCAGGGAGGGAGTTTGCCCCTGGGTCAAGTGGATGATCCTTAGATCACCTTGTGCTCCTGTGGACTGGGGTGTGTGTGTGTATGTGTCGGGAAACTTAGTTTTGAGAGGATGTCTTTGGGCTCTCATTTTCTCTCCCAGGCACAAATACTGGGTGGCGGGGTGGGGGTCTTCTCCAAGTCCCATGTCAGGTGCTGCTCCCTGAGAAGCTTAACCACTGAAGCCGATCATGAGATGACCGTACGCTGACACGCCTTCAGGGACCTGGCCTTGACTTAGGGCTCCACTCTATCCTCAGCAGTGGCCTTGCAGGAGACCCTCTTGGGTTGCTTTCCCTATTCAGCCTAGAGTTGGAGTGGTGGGAGAAGAGGGGTTGGAGTGAATCCATCTCTATTCAAATTCCAGCTGGGATTACTCGAGGAGTCTTCCTGGCTTGTTTTGGACCCAAACTTGGCTGCATTGTTTATTGGCTCCCAAAGTCGGGATTGAAGAGTGAAAAGATGCAGGCAATGAATTCATCCGCACACTCCTCCCCAACCTCTCCAACGCTTTTCTACTTAGGAGGCCAGTGGAAGGGAGGAGAGGCCTTGCCCTAGCCCACAGGGGACGAAGCTCATTGTTCTTCCAGGCTTGATCCACTCTGCTTTTGATTCCGAAGTTCTTTCCCTACCCAGCAAGACTACGCTTTCTTGCCTTCTTTCTGTTCTTTCTTTTTGTACATGTAGATGGTATGTTGTGATATATTCTCAGTGCCTGTGCCCACCTTGGAACTCTGTTCTTGCTGTTCATTCCGCATGTTATACTCTGGGCCAAGATCTTTGCACAGGTGCCTCAAATATCATCTCAGAGGTGCTTCCCTTGAAAACTCGGTGCTATTTCTATAGTTGCTTTATTTGATCACTCTAAGTTTTGTTGTCTTCATAGCATTTATCACCCTCTGGAACTATTCTGTTCATTTATTTACTTGTTTGATGCTTGGCTTTTTTCCTGTCCTAATGTAAACTCCGTGATTACCAATGCCTGTTTACTTGCTACAGCACCCCCGTGGCCCTCCACTCCCCCATTCCTGGCACTAGTAAGAACTCAATAAACACTTGTTGATGGAATGAATGTTTGTTTGTTGTTTTTTATAGGAATGTTTTTTTAAAAGTTCAGATGTTTTTAAGAAGTCAAAGGTGTCTTTTGTATTTAGCAACAGGGAGCCGTTGGTGACTGTGTAGGACACTCTCCGTGTGACGTAAATGGGAGGCGAGGAACAGGAATTTGCAATTGTAGATGCAACTCTCTCCACTAGGCTTGACTTCGAAGGAAGGCAGAGGGGTAGGACAAGGGATGGAGTGTTGCACTTAACTGAGAAGGCACGTGAGCACGTGGAAGTGCTGCTGGGAGGGCGGCGGTGGAGTGGGTGTGCGAAGAAGGGGGAGTGGATCACTGATGGAGCCAGTAGTGGAGGATTTGAGGGGGCCAAATCAGGGTCAGTGAGGATCAGGCATGGAGCAGGAGTGCCTTTTCACTGGAAAAAAGGGAAGGAGAAAAGGAGAGTGTGGATTCTGGTGTATTTGCAGACTTAGTAGCAGGACATTGAGGCAGTTTCTACCTGTGGTTTTGATTTCCTCTGTAAAGCAGGAGATGAGGCGGCCTGATGGGGTGCTGGTGTTGGGGTCAGAGGCATGAGGATGGGGGAGAGGGTTATAAAGACATTATTTCAAATCATGGCTCTGAAATCATCTATATAATTCTTTCTCCAGATGAATTTTTATTTTTATTTATTTATTAAAAATTCAAGATGACATTTTGCCACTACATTTTTGCCCATAACCTCATATTTAGATCTAAATCCTAGATCTAAACTTGAGGCTCATATGGTTTCAGGTGGAAGAAATAAGAGTTGGAGAAAGAAATGCAGAGTCTAATCTTCCCAGTGAATAAAGGTTCATGAGGAAACTTTGATGAGGGGAAGCTATAAAAATTCCACCAGATTACAGGGAGATGGAGCTGTGCTCTGAGACAGTAATTTGCTCCCTGTCCATCTAGGCTGCTGTTATTACACCAAAGAGTGAGGTATAAAAGGTTAAGCAGTCCGATATTTCTCTCCCTGTGTAGGAAGCCATTTCCTGATGTGAGGTGGGTTTGAACCCAATTATAATGGAGTTAAACTCAGGGCTGGAAGGGCCCTGGCGGGGGAAGGGGGCTTCCTGCCTGACTCCACTGCACATGCCTCTGTGCCGTTAATACCACCATTGCCAGGTATTTACTATCTCTGCCTGAGTAAAATGAAGTGTCCTTAGTGGACAAAGATGATACTGTTGACACAAGAGTAGGGTGTGCAGTTGTTACTTGGAGAGAATTTGCATCCTCTTATTGTAGTACAGGTACACACTTGCAGGAATGCTTGGGTAAGGGGAGTGATAAAATAACTTCTCATTGAGCATCAACTATATATTCACCTTATACCACAGGGTACTTTGTGTTTGTAAATGGGGAACAGGAGAAGTTGTCATGACCCCCATGGCCACTGAAACCATGACTTTTACCTTACTACCACCGTGTGGCAACCCAGAAGTTTCTAAACAGAGAATGGTTTAGAGTACCCAGGAGTATTTGGAGATGCCACTGTATGAGATAAGAGGAAAGTGGAGCCAGCAGGACTCCAGGCCACACCTTCACATCAACAAAAGTAGTGTTTAGTGTTTGTGTTGACTTCTAACTTTATGTAGATAAAGGATTCCACTGGTGCAAAAGAGTCTGACTACACTTTCATAAATGCAACAAATATTGATAGAATCCTTATGTTAAGTGATTTTCTAAATGGTTTACTGAATTAAAGAGCGTACTATTTGACATCACAGGTTTGAGGTTAGTTGGCTGGTATTTCACTATTCATTTCCTCTGAAGCAACAATTTACCTATCACCAAGTTCAGTGCTTTGACTTTGATCAACTGACTGGGTTTATCCAAAGTACAGATGAGCAGAAGAACACAGATTAGAAAACAGTCCTGATAATTAGTCCTGTATTTTTAGTTTTAAACAAATTTATGTAAAAGCATTATATTTTACAAGGCACTAAAATCCATTTCTGTTGCATAAGCTTCATTGGTAAACACAAAATAGGTTTGAGGAGAGTGGAGAAAATAGGAATCTACAGCTTAAGTCGTGGTCTTACTTCATAGCAAATCTGTTATCTATCAGATTTCCATCATTTGGTGCAAAAAGATCTTTTAATAAAACTAAGTTCTAAGAAAGTATTAAGTCTGATTACCAACATTCATATTGGATTTTGAAGCATATGAACACTCTTAAGAGTCAATTCATAATCTGAGGCTGGAGTTCTGTAGGACCCAGTAGTGGTATCTGGAGAGGCTGGTGGGTCCCTTTCTAGAACCCTAAAGGTGTAAGGATTTTGTAGAGGGAAAGGTAAATAATGCCAAGTAGCTGGGGTCTAGGAAGAAATTTTTCTTTTGGGGCAAGAGGGTGTAAGTTCCTAAAGTTCCTTCAGCAGGGATGTTGGTCCTTTAGTTATGAGGTTTAAAATCACCAGGAAGAAAGGGTAAGGAAAAACGTCTGAGCC